GCATTTTGCTTATCCATTCACCCATCTATGGTCACTTGGGTTCTTTCCACCTTTTGGCCACTGTGAATAGTACTGCTATGAACATAGGTGGTCAAGTCCCTTCTTTCCATTATTTAGTGTGTATACTCAAAAGTGGAACTGCAGGATCATATCATAATTTTATGTTTAACTTTTTGAGGAAATACCATACAGTTTTTAATAGTGGCTGCACCATTTTACCTTCTTGCCTTCTCCCCTCGAACAGGGGTCCCAGTTCCCCCACATCCTAGCTAACACTTGTTTGTTTGTTTGTGTTATAATAGCCCTCCTAATGCAGGGGTCCCCAATCCCCAAGTCATGGACCGGTGCTGGTCCGTGGCCTGTTAGGAACCGGGCCACACAGCAGGAGGGGAGTGGTGGACAAGTGAGCGAAGCTTCATCTGTATTTACAGCCGCTCCCCATCACTTGCATTACCTCCTGAGCTCCACCTTTTGTCAGATCAGCGGCAGCAGTAGATTCTCATACGAGTAGGAGCTCAAACACTACTGTGAACTGCAAATGCAAGGCATCTAGGTTGCACGCTCCTCATGAGAATCTAATGCCTGATAATCTGAGGTGGAGCTGAGGCGGTGATGCTAGCACTGGGGAGCGGATGCAAATACAAATCATCATTAGCGGAGAGGTTTGACTGCACAGAGACCATAATAAGTCAACTGCTTGCAGACTCATATCAAAACCCTATCAGTGAGTGGCAAGTGACAGTTAAGCTGCATCTTACAGAGTAGACTGGATATAAGCAACACACTTCGGGTGTCACTGTCTCCCATCAGCCCCAGATGGGACCATCTAATTGCAGGACAACAAGCTAAGGGTTCCCACTGATTCTGCATTATGGTGAGTTGTATAATTATTTCATTATATATTACAATGTAATGAAAATATAAATAAAGTGCATAATAAATGTAATGTGCTTGAATCATCCCCAAACCATCCCCCACCTCCCTGGTCCATGGAAAAATTGTGTTCCATGAAACCGGTCCCTGGTGCCAAAAAAGTTGGGGACCGCTGTCCTAATAGATATGAAGAGGCATTTCATTTGGTTTTTAAAGAATTTTTTTTAATTAATTAATTTGTTTATTTTTATTTTTGGCTGCCTTGGGTCTTTGTTGCTGCACACAGGCTTTCTCTAGTTGCAGTGAGCAGGGGCTACTCTTTGTTGCGGTGCACAGGCTTCTCATTTTGATGGCTTCTCTCGTTGGCTTCTCTTGTTGCAAAGCACGGGCTCTAGGCACGCAGGCTTCAGTAGTTGTGGCTCGCAGGCTTAGTTGCAGCATGTGGGATCTTCCCAGACCAGGGCTTGAACCTGTGTCCCCTGCATTGGCAGGCAGATTCTTAATAGCTGCACCACCAGAGAAGTCTCTCTCATTTGGTTCTGATTTGCATTTCCCTAATGATTAGTGATGTTGGGCACCTTTTCATGGCCATTTGTATGTCATCTTTGGAGAAACGTCTATTCCAGTCCTTTGTTTTTTAAACAAGTTGTTTGGTTTTTGTTGTTGAGTTGTAGGTGTTCTTTTTTTAAATTTTTTTTCTAAAATTTTATTTATCTATTTTTGGCTATGCTGGGTCTTCGCTGCTGCACACGGGCTTTCTCTAGCTGTGGCAAGCAGGGGCTACTCTTCGTTGCAGTGTGTGGGCTTCTCATCGCGGTGGCTTCTTTTGTTGCAGCACACAAACTCTAGGCATGTGGGCGTCAGTGGTTGTGGTGCACGGGCTTAGTTGCTCTGCGGCATGTGGGATCTTCCCGGACCAGGGATCAAACCCGTGTCCCCTGCATTGGCAGGCAAATTCTTATCCAGTGCGCCTCCAGGGAAGCCCCTGTAGGTGTTCTTTATGTGTTGCGGATGTTAACTCCTTATCAGATATATAATTTGCAAATATTTACTCCATTTCTTGGGTTGCATTTCACTGTGTTAATAGTGTCCTTTGATGCACAAAGGTTTTACATTTTTATACAGTTCAGTTTATCTAATTTTTCTTTTGTTGACTGTGTTTTTGGCATCATATGCAAGAATCCAATGCCATGAAGCTTTCTCCTGTTTTCTTCTGTTAATGTATTTAACATATTAGAATAACAAGTCCTTTAAACTATCACTTTATAGATATTTTGTATTATTTTTAAAGTCTTAAATTTTAAGATATTAAGAATTTAAATATACTAGGTAAATAATAGGAGAGGTTTAGTATACATCTTTCGGTTGGTACCCAAATGACTGATGTTTGGTAAATAGTGTGATAAGCTAAACTGCATCCTTCTAAATATACCAATTGTGTTAAAGAAAAAAGTAATCGTGACACTTGTTAAAGAATGATAAGGCAGACTTTACTCAGGGGGACCCCACTGTGACAGGTATAGTGACTACTGAAATGGGCTTTTGCAGGAGTGGAGAGATTGGGCTCAACTCTAAATACAAGGGAAAGTGGTAACTTATAGCCAAGGAGCATGGCGGGGTGGGGGAGTGGGGTCAGTGGATGGAAAATTTCTACGAGGAAACATCAAGGGTAAGAGGAGATTCTAGCTAAACTAACCTAGCAGCATTCTTGCTGAAAGCAGGCCACCATGACCAGACAACCCCTGGGGGATGTTGGAGGATGAGAAGCCCAATCAGAAACCAAGGCTGGGGGCTTCTGGCTAAGTTGCCTTAGCAAGATTCTTGCTGAAACTGGAAAATGCAGGGATGAACACGGGAGCCCAAAGGTCAGAGCCTAGTTGATAAGAGATTTCAGAGGAACCTGAGTAGTTTGGTCAAGGAGACCATCTGTCACTACTTCAGGGACTAAGCGTTTGTACCCCCATTACCCAACGGTTGGCTCAAGCATCTGAAAAAGCAGCCCTAGGTGCAAAGAACAGTGAAATTGAAACTGGACGACAAAGCAGGTCATTTAATCTCAACTGCAAGACACATACATGCAAAGTTTTTAAAGTAGAGGTAGTAATACAGGTCCACAGTAGTACTTTATTTTCAATTCTGAAATGCAAAAAGTTCTAAAACAGAAGTTTCCCCCTAAGTTTGGAGCAAACTCATTGGAACTAACATAAGACTATAGCCTTTATATACCCCACTTCGGGTTAATATTTGTGAATATTCACACATTTTTGCTGCAGAAATATTGTCTTTGATTATATGCCGTTCCAGACCCCGCTGAAGGTGTTTCATGCAGTATGCATACTGCCCTTTAACACAGAATCCAAAAAATTTTGAATTCCAAAACATCTGGCCCCAAGGTCCCCCACCCCCATCTTTATTGAGCTATAACTGACATTTGTCATTTAAGTTTACTGTGTACAATGTAATGATCTGATATATGTATATACTGCAAAATGATTACTACAGTCAGGTAAGTTAACACATCCATCACATAGTTACATTTTGTGTGTGTGTGTGTTGTGGGAGAACTTTTAAAATCTACTCTCTGATCATCTTTCAAATATATAAAGAAAACAGGATTGCTAACTATAATTACCATGCTGTATATTACACACCCAGAACTTAATCACCTTGTAACTGGAAGGTCCCAAGGTTTTTGATACAGGATTAACTAGTAGTCCTAGAAGTACTAGTAGTAGAATCGAGCACTTAGTTTGTGTCAGGCATGGTTCTAAGCACTTTACATTTAATCCTCCCAATACCAGAAGAGTCATCATCTTTTATAAATGAGAAAACTTACGTGATTAGCTACTTAATTTGCTGAATATCCTGCATAAAGTAGCCCAGCTGAGTAGGGATTCATGCTTTTCACCACAACGGGTAAGGACAAGTCTTTGTGACAAAAGATGCCTCCAACTGAAGCAAAATGGTAAATTTACAGTGACTCAAATAACAGAGACAAGACAAGACGTCTGGAGATTGGTGGTCAGCTGGTTTGGGGTTGGTTCAGAAGCTCACATTGTTAGAGCCTGGATGCCTTCCTACTTTTCACTAAGTTTCCAACCAGCTGCCCTCATGGTGATAAGAAGGCTGCAGCAGCTCCAGGGAGCTTCCACTGGCAACAACAGCAGGAAAGAACTAAGCCCCCAACCATCCAGCCCCTTTTTTAAACAGTAAGGAACATCTGTCCCAGAGCCAGCCATGCCCCTAACAGACCCACTAGCCAATCACTGTCAAAGGACTGGCTTATACTAATTTTAGTTAACCAGAAAGGACCTCGGGCTCGGCGATTTGGTGCAGAAGCCGGTGCGGCTCTGCGGTGGGGTACTGGTGCCGGCCGAGCCTGAGCACGCTCCAGCCTGGACAGGTCCCTCGGCTCCCTGAGATGAGGGCAGTGCAGCTCCGCACAGCACTGGGTCGGGGGTGCGATGCCCACGGTTTGGGGACTGCTCACAGAGGGAATCCCACCCCACGACGGCGCGGACAGCAAGGCCTCGGTTTCCCCTTCCGCACAGCCCAAAGGCCCCGGCAGCTCAGGCCTGCTGCCTCAGAGAAGCGGGTGCTCCCGGGGCCTTCAGACGAGAAGCTACCGTACAACGAGCAAACTCGGCAGGAGGCCACTGCGCGGTCTCACAGCAACCCGGGGCCCACTCCCGCCCGGAAGTTGAAGCTGCATCCCCGGGACTACGTCTCCCAGAGACGCCAGAGCTTCTCCCATGCTGATAAGGCCCGCTGCGCCTTCTATCAGCCAACCAGACACAGGAAGACGGCCGCAGACTGGGCTCGGAGACCAATCACAAGAAAGGAGGCGGGCGCTCCTCCAGCCGGTCCAGGGTCTGTAGTCGAATCGTGACGAAACCCTAAGAGTAGGTTCTTTGGAGCCCCACGGCCGACTCAGTGATCGGAGAAGTGACGTTCAGCCCTCTTCCCGAATCAATGACCTGAGGCAAACGTCCCCTCGTCTCCTCAAGGCTCTGGCCTCCGCTACTCCGGCCTGTCGCCTGGGCCCGCCGGGTCTCAAGGGTTCCTTGCGGCGCCCCGCCCCCAGCCCCTCATTGGCTCCCTCGGGGCACGTGGGCGGAGAGGGCGTGGTCGCGGCAGCGTGGGCCGGCGGCGGCACCTTGCAGCCTGTGGGCATGAGAGGCTGGGCGGCCTCGGGCCTGGGCCCGCATGGACCCCCTGGCGCTGGGCCGGTGGCGACGGCGGAGGCCAGAGGAGCTGCAGGTTCCGGGGGACGCGGTGAGTCCCCCGGGGCCTGGGCCTTAGGAACGGGAAGGCGGTGGCTCTCGGCGGGCCCCCACTGGGCCTCGCGTCTTCTGGCGCCTTGCCTGGGAGGAGGCCCGGCCGGAGCGGGGCACGCGCACCTGCTGAGGCGGAGCGTAGTGGGCGGGGCCGCCCCTCAGACCGCGCCTGCGCAGAGATGCGAACCCGGGCGCTCAGGAGCACTGGAGACGTAGGGTCCCTCAGATGTGCGCGGGGCTCCCTGCAGGGTCTCGATGTCTAGGTCAGGGGGGTGTCCTGCGTTCTGCACGCCGCTGTTCCTAAGTCACGCCTCCACGTGCAGACGCTGGACTGGGTGTGGTATGGGTGCCAGGTGAGTAGACACGCCAGTCCTTTGCTGTGAGAGAGCAGGGTAAGAGGTGATCAGTAAGGGGGGCCAGGGCCTAATCAAGCTGGGGTGGGAGGGTAATCGGGTCTCTGTGAGGCTTGAAGGGGAAACAGTGTGGGTAGGAAGCGCGTAGGCTTTTAGGGACCTGAAAGAAGTCCTGTGGGACTGGAGCAGGAGTGCAGGGCCTCTGAGCTGCGCTCTTGTCTAACACCTCTGCCTGCGAATTGCTGTTTCTCACTTCATCTCGTTTATTTCCTTCTAAGAGCAGCAAGGATCTGCTACCATACCGTGCTTCTTAATTGTTTGTCTGCTTCTTCTGGACCTACGGGCTCCATAAGCACGGGGTGTGCCTTCTGAGTTAATGCAGGCAACGTTTTTCTCAAATGTTTTGCACAGCATAGCAGGAGTGACGAGCTTTCTACTCTGCAGCATGTTTCCTCACCACCCACTGCCTGACCACGAGCCAGTATCACTTATGTTCCGTCACAGTGGCGCCCCACTCCCTTGTGCCATATTACAGGGCATAGGTTAAGCTTCTGTAACAGAGGGACTTCAAACCACATTGGCTCAAACCGGATGGAAGTTTGATTCTCCCATACATTACAGTATGGAGGTGAGCCCAGGGCCGTGGAACACAGAGCCGCTAAATATAAGTATGGGACTGGTGGTACCCAGATCAAAGACATCCAAGGACTCAGTTTCCTTTTGTCCGTGGCTTCACCACTCCCTGGGTGTTGTCCTCCAGACAGTGGGAAGTAAATAGTAGAATGACACGATCATACTGACATTTAAAGAGCTAACTCTTTCCACAGAGCAGCTTTGTGGGAAATGAAAGGGATAGTGGTCAGAGGGGAGGCCAGGAATAAATAGATCGTGAGAGGCGACAGAGGTTCAGACAGAGGGGAGTGAGATGGTGACAGTACACAGACTTGGCTGTATATTTTGGAGGAAGAACTGTCAGGTCTTGCTGGTGGAGTGGATGTGGAAGGAAATATAAAGGGAGGAGTCCAGGTGACTCCCAGGGTTGTGACTTGAGCACCCAGATATGCAGTGGTGCTGTCATTGAGGAAAGATTGACGTGTGACTGCAGGAGAAAATGAGGAATTCCTGTTAGGCCACACTGAGTTGTGTGTCTTAGAGACATTTAGCAGAGATGTGGCAGATACTGCCAGCTTGAGCGGCTACCATGTGGGTTATCAGTTTCACAACAATCCGTTATTATACCCGTATTACCAATGAGGAAACTCAGGTACAGAGAGGTTAATCAACTGGCCTAAGGGTGCACAGCTAACAAGTGGTGGCAGTAGGTCTTAAACCCCACTGTCTGCCTCCAGAGCCTGTGTTCTTAACCACTGGGCTATACAGCTTCCCATGGGGGGCTTGTGGAACTAAAACATGGGACTTCAAAACGAAGTCCTAAATTGGCCATAAAATGATGAAAAGTGTGATGCCGTGGGCTGTCAGGGGTGGGGAGCCGGAGGTCACTATTGATCAGAGAGAACAGGAAGGGCTTAATGGAAGAGACCTTGAGTGATCTTTCAGACTGGAATTGCTGAAATTAAACGCCCAGGTTGAGGCTACAACACTTCCTGATTGTGACCAAAGAAGGATGAGGTGGTATCTTATTGCTGTGGTGTATATTGCCTCCTAATTTGATAAAGTTCTTGTTTATGTTGTATTGTGTCCTAGTCTTTGATCTAATAATCCAGATTGAGTTCAATTAAGTAGCCAAGCTCTTGTCCCAAGTTTTCCATTCTCTCTCTCACACACACCCCCCCTTCAGAATTTGGTCACTCAGGAAGTGCAGCATCTTTCCTATCTCTGTGGCAGCCTAGTGGCCCTACACCCTGTGTGTTAAAACCAGCCGTGGAGTTAGGAGCTACAGCCACCAGGACCCATCTCTGGAATGAGTGAGTCTCATGAACCAGAGTCAGGTGCCTCTCCTGTAATCTTGTTAGTGTCCTGATCATGGTAAGGTTGGCTAATGTGGTAACACGTGTAGCAGTTAAATATCAGTAGTGATTATCGTTTCCGTCGGGTAGGCGTTTTTTGAGCATCTATTGTGTATCAGGAACTGTTCTAGGCTCTGGAAGAAGAGACGTGAGGTCCTTGCCTAGGTTGACCCCGTGACTCGGGGCATCCAGTGCCTGGCTCCTTTCAGTCCCTGCCCACCACACTCACCTTTCCTTTAAGAATAGAAGTTTCTGCCTAGAACACCTGAAGATTCATGTCTACTCAGCCCTTCATCTCCCTGAAGACTCTCCTTCCATAAAAGCTCTGTAAAGAGCAAGTTCTCTAGGCAGAGCATACCTGGGCTCACGTTGAATTGATATTTTTTTCTGGTTTAATCTGAGGTGATCCAAGATCCCTTTTCCCAGCTTTTGGTTCCTAGGGATAAGTGGCCATTTCCTGTGTTGTAATTTCTTTCCATTCTTTGTCAATGTCCTTTAGAAATAAAATAGAAGGATACATTAATTGATTGGCTATTGCAGGGTTTTTTGCCCATAATTTTTCTTTCTTTTTATTTATTTTTTAACAACATTATTGGGGTATAACAAACTACAAGTACTTAAAGTGTACAATTTGGCTTTTTGGCTATTATAAATAATGTTTTTATGAACATGTTCAAGTTTTTGTATAGACATATATTTTTATTTCTCTTGGGTATATACCTAGTGGTGGAATTTCTGGGTCATATGGTAACTCTCTAACCATTTGAGGAACTGCTAAATTGTTTTCCAAAGTGGCTGCCACATTTTACATTCCCACCGGCAGTGTATGAGGGTTTCGGTTTCTCTGCATCATCACCAACACTTAGTCTGCTTTCTAAATTGTAACCATTCTAAGTGGATATGAAGTAATACCTCTTTGTAGTTTTGATTTGTATTTTCTTGATAACTAATGATGTTGAGCATCTTTTCATGTGTTTCTTTGGCTATTTGTATATCTTCTTTGGAGAAATGTCTGTCAGATCCTTTGCGCATTTTTAAATTGGGTTGTTGTCTTTTTATTATTAAGTTGTAATAGTTCTTTGTATATTTTAATACCAGTCCCTTATTGGATACATGATTTTCAAAATTATTCTATTTCATACCCCAGTATTTTTCCTAAAAGTCATAGTTTTAGCTTTTACATTTAGATCTACATTCCATTTCAAGTTAATTTTTATATATGGTGTGAGGTAAGGTTCCAACTTCATTCATTTGCGTGTAGGTATTAAGCTGTCCAAGCACCATTTGTTGAAAAGACTATTCTTTCCCCCCATTTAGTTGTCTTGGCACCTTTGCTGAAAACCAACCCACTGCAAAGGTGAGGGTTTTTTCCTGGATTCTCAGTTCTGTTCCATTGATCAGTATGTCTGTCCTTATATCAGTACCATACTGTCTTGATTACTGTAGCTTTATAGTAAGTTTTGAAACCTGGAAGTGAGAGTCCCCCAACTTTGTTGTTTTTCAACATCGTTTTTGCTATTCTGGGTTCCTTGAATTGCCATAGGAATTTTAGGATCAGCTTGTCAATTTCTGCAAAGAAGTCAGCTGGAATTCTGAATTGAATCTATAGATTAATTTGAGGAATATTATCTCTTAATATCTTAACAATATTAAGTCTCTGATCTATGTACATGTGATGTCTTTCTAAGTTTCACTGATTTTTCTCTATTGCTTTTCTATTTACTTTGTCAATAATTTTCACTCTCATCTTCTTTATTTCCCTTTTTCTTCTCATGTTGGGTTCACTGGTTCTTTTGTTTCTTGTGACTGAAGGTGGATTCTGAGGTCACTAGGTGGAGGCCTTTCATGTTTTCTAACGTAGGCACTGACCGCTATACATTTCTTCTTTAGTGAATGTAATGTTTTGTTTTTTATTTTTTCAGTTCAAAATGCTTTATAATTTTCCAGTTGATTTTTTCTTGGATGCATTTGTTATTTAGAAGTGTGTTATTTAGTTTCCAGATATTTGGGGATTTTCTAGAGATCTTTGTTACTGCTTTCTAGTTTAATTCCACTGTGGTCCAAGAACATACTTGGTGTGACTTGAATCCTTTGAAGTTTACTGACACTTTTTTCTTTTTCTAAAATTTAATTTAATTTATTTTTAAAATTTTATTGTAGTAAGAATGCTTAACATGAGATCTGTCCTCTTAACAAATCATAGGTGTACAATCAGTTATTGTTGACTGTAGGTAAGGTGTTGTACAGCGGGTCTCTGCTGATGAATAACTCTCCATTTCCTCCTCTCCACAGCCCCTGGAGTTAGCATTCCAGTCTTCGTTTTGTGAATTTGACTATTTTAGATACCTCGTATAAATGGAATCATGCAGTACTCGTCTTTCATTATCTTGCTTAGCATAATGTCCTCAATGCCCCTCCATGTTGTTGCATATTGTGAAATTTCCTATTTTTTAAGGGCTGAATGGTATTCATTGTTTGAATATACCACATTTTCTCTATCCATTCATTTGAAATGGACATTTAGGTTGTTTCTACATCTGGCCATTGTGCATAGTGCTGCAGTGAACATGGACATGCTAAATGTCTCTTTGAGATGTTGATTTCAATTCTTTTTGATAAATGTCCAGAAGTAGGGTTGCCAGATCATATGGTATTTTTAATTTTTTTGAGGAACCTCC